AATTTAAATTTTTTTAGTTGTTGATGGATCTTTATCTTATTCATTTATTTACATGTGGTACCGAGAATCGAACCCAGTGCGTCACACATGCAAGGCAAGTGCTCATCCACAGAGCCACAACCCCAGCCCTAAACTTTTAAATTTTCAGACAGCACCTCACTAATTTGCTGAGGCTGGCCTTGAACTCGATCCTCCTCTCTCAGCCTCCTGTGTGACTGGAATTACAGGTGTGCATCACCACAACCAGCTCACTCTAGCTGATATTTCTGAGCTCTTTGGATTTGAACATGTATTTAAGATGTGAGTTTTCAGGCATTCTGTGAGTAATTCAGTTCTCTTTGGGTGCCGAGCCTTTATGTAGTCATCATGCTTTGTTATTTTACACAGCAAGCCTGTCTTCAACTTTTTGGTGGTTGGAAAAGGAACTTTATTGATTCTTCCTAAGAAGAGCTAGTTATCTTCTTCTCCCTACCTTTGGTTCTCCACCAACCCTTCATGAATCAATAGAGATATTAATTCATCTGGAAGTACAGAAGTACATAAATGGCTGCATTTATGTGTCCTATGAATTACAGAGGAGATGGAATTAGAGCAGATCTGGGCTATTTGCATTTTACTTGGAGGAATAGGAACTTTGGTATCTTTGTTTGTTATTTTATTTTATTTGTGAGCAGAAAGGTACCAGAAGCCATAGATAAAGATGCTCATTGCAGATAGACTTTTTGGATGAGAAGAATGAGAGTGGAGAGAGGGTGGATAGATGGAAGACTGGAAGGAAGAAAAGCATGACAATAAAGAGGCGAGCAGAATCTTGGGATGAGTGCACAGCATAGAATTTTAAAAACCTATAAATCTTTTTAGCATTAGCCGCCCAAATTCCAAATACTTATCAAACCAACAAATTGTCATCAGTTTTTTACCAACCCTTCTTTTGCACCTGTTAAAATGAGCACAACACCTGGGGGCGGGGAATCTTTAGTGATTTGAAAAAGTTTGTTGTCAAAGATGTAGGTTTTTAATTTTTTGCCTTTTTGAAGCTTTCACATAATTCTTTTCTCTTTGCTTTATGAGTCCTAGAAGTGATATCACATGCTAATTAGCAAACATTAGCACATAATGCCACTTACTGTGTTATTCCGTATGCTGGACTTCCTGCTTGGTTGCTTAAAATGCATTGCTTCATTGATATTAGTTGGAACTCTCATTTCCATTTTCTGGTATAGGAACTCAGAGATGCTGAGATATTAAAAACAACAATAAAGACATGCCTAAGGACAGTCGATTTTGTCCTTCTGTCTTATCTTTTTAAACACTGCCCCGTCTCCCACAGCCAGAACAGTGCTTGACACAAGAGTAGTTACTCAAAAAAAAAATATATATATATATATTCTGAATGTTAAATGTACTTGCTCACATATCTGTAAATGCAAACTGAGATCTGAAATCAGGCTTTTCCACATGAAAGACTGAGTTTTTAATCACTTGCTGCTGTGTTTCTGGAACTGCTGGCTTTTAAATATGCCTCTCTGTGATTACTGAAGCATAAATTTAAATGGTATTGTCATCGGTTCTGTCATGGGAACACTTATTTTTTTCAGTCCTGGGGATTGAACCTAGGGTCTCACAGAGCTAGGCAGGTGCTATGTTACTGAGCTACATAACCAGGACTTTTTAAATTTTGTTTTAAGTCAGGATCTCACTAAGTTGCCTATACTGGCTTTGGACTTGTGAACCTTCTGCCTCAGCCGCACCAACCCCAGTATCCTGAGTATCTTTTCCCCAAAAAAATAAACATATCTTTATAACTTTTCTCATGGTCGAAAGATACATAAGCTCACAGAGAAATCTGAATAATACCTCAAAAGTATAGAAATTAGAATAAGAATTAAGGCCAAGCAAGGAACACTCTGCCTTAGCCACAAGTTTTAAGAGAGAAACAAAAACTCAGTAGTCAAAATAAGCAATATTTTAATTTACTATTTCAAAAAAAACCCAAAATTAGCACAAAAAATATACGATGAACAAAATATCACAAAAATGTAAATAAAGATAAGACTTATAGGTTGAGATCAATGCATACAAGTGCACAGTCAGATCATGTCTGCTTTACAATTTTGATATTTCATTCAATATGTTACCTTACCATCACGACAACAAAACACCTGAGGTAATCAACTTATGAAAGTTAAAGTCTTATTTTGGCTCAAGTTTTGGAGGTTCCATTCTTTGATGTATTGGACCCATTGCTTTGAGCCTGTAGCAAGGCAGCACATTGTGGTCTCAGTGTGTGGCAGAGCCCAACAATTCACCCCAGGAACAGGAAGTCGAGAGTAAGAGGAGGAGACCAGGGTCCCACAGTTCCTTTCTAGGGCATGTTCTCAATGCCCTAAAGCCCACCCACTAGGCCCCACCTATATTAAAGCTCCACCATCTCCCAACTATGGAGGCCACTATGGAGGCCAAGACTATGGCATCCATCATAGATTTTTCCTGCAGTAAGTTGGGATTTTAAGAATACTGGGTTGACCTTTATCTTGATAACTAAGTTGCTGTTGTTTTGACAGGCCTTAAATTTTACAGCTAAGGTGAGTTCCTCAATCACCAAATTCTAACTTCAACATAGTCAGGATGAAAGCAGAGATTGTACCAAACCAGAGGTTTGTCTGTTCATGTCTGGCACACAGCTTTTGAAACAACTCTCAGGGGTTTCTGTGTGTGTCTGTAATATATATGTAAGGGGCATGACATAGCTAATCAACTTCTTATTTATTGAATGACACTGCATATAGTTTTTGCCTGGTCATTTTATTATTTCCTTGGGGTAAGCGCCTATGGTTGGAATCACTGGCTTAAAGAGTTTGTGTGTGCATTGTTTTTAAAAAGCCAGAAAGGTCATTTGAGAGTCTTGGCAGTTGGATTAAGTTCCTTTATACAGTGTTCACAGAATTTTTAAAAATGTATTTCCTTTCCTTTGAACAGGTCCAGGAGACGGAATGTCATCACATGTTTTGCCAACATCACCGAATTCTGGAGGTAAAAAGAAATCAATCAGTGAATTCTTCCTTTGTGTCTGGTCCCGTTAGGCTCCATAAGGTACTAGGAGAGTAAAGGAGGGTGCTGCATGAGAGCCTAAGGCGGAAAGAATTTACAAACTGTCTGCTGAGGACATTCTGTTTGACTTTTCGATTTTTAAAATTTCTTCAAATCAGGGGTTCCTCAAATTGTCATCATTAACTCAATTGTGTCATACGAAAGGACACAAATAACTTTACCAAATCTGCCCTCTTCTCTCCTTTACCACCCTTCTCTCTTGATCCTCCTACTTCTTTGTAAATATACAAGAAAGTAGAATTTAGCAGTATAAAAGGAAATAATTTTGTTTTACTTATAATTCTGGCCAAGTTTAATGATGGGATAACACCAAGAATGTCTATAGAGAACTGTTACTCTATACACATCCTATACAGAGGACCATTTGTCACTCTGTATTTAGAATTAATAGGTGTGACTGTGAAAGACAAAACATGTATATAAACCAATGGTTTAAATGTATGATAGGGGTTTTTCATACTCTCTCGGGTAAACAGAGTCCGGGTCCATGTGGAAGTTCACATCAGGAGCTCACCACCTAGCTCATGACTGGGCTTTATTCTTGGCCCAGTTTGACTGCTTCTGCGCCAATCATTACATCCATATTCCTACCTATAAGGAAGGGAAGAGCATGCCTAGAAGATACATTCACCACTTTCACTGACATCCCCTTGGCTAGAACTTAGCCACATGGGTATTCCTAGGTCCAAAGGAGGTTGAGAAAAGTACTCTCTACTGTGGGTGCCCATATGGGATGCTAGAATTGAGGACCATATTTGTATAGAAGGAGAGAGTGTGGATATCGAGACACTACTAGTAGCCCCTGCTCCATTATCAAATTTTT